TATATATGTATATGTGTGTGTATGTATGTATGTATGTGTATATGTGTGTATAAAGTCTCCAATATGGATTGAAGCTCAACATAAGAAAAACAAAGATTCTCACCAATGTGCCAATAAGCAGCACTATAATAGATGGAGAAGAGATTGAGATTGTTAACAATTTCAACTGGCTCAGTTCCACAGTCAACACTTGTGGCACTAGCAGTCAGGAAATGAAAAAAAAAATAATTGCATTGGGTAAATCTGCTGCCAGGAACTTCTTCAGAGTACTAAAGAGCAGTGATGTCCCTTTGGAGACTAAGGTGCACCTGAAGAAGGCCCTGGTCTTCACAATTAATTTGCTGTGCGTCAGAGATCTGGACAATGACTAAGGAGATAGAAGAAAATCAATGCCTTTGGGTTGTGGTGCTGGAGAAAAGTATTGAATGGACTTTATTGGAAAGTAATACCATGGACTGCCAAGAGAACAAACAGATCTAGCCTGGAAAAAAGGTGAAAACTGTTTGCTCTTTGGAGGCAAGGATTTTGAAGCTCCACCTCACATACTTTGGGCATGTTGCCAGGAAGGACCAGTTCTTGGAAAAGGACATCATGCTTAGAAGGGTGGAGGGACAGTACAAGAGAGGAAGACCCCAGATGAGATGGATTGACACAATAGTAGTAGACTAGAGTAGTAGGGGTGGGTGTGTCACAGACAGTGAGACTGGCTCAGAATAGGGCAGAGTCCAGAGCTATTGTGCATAAAATTGCTGTGAGTTGCAGGTGATACGATGACACATAACAATAACATACAGAGATCTGGTGGCCACTTGTTGTTGAGTGATGTCAAATCCAGTACAACTCTGAGTGACCCTAAGAACAGATCTGAACCCTTCCTATCTTGTGCATCCTCATCACCTGTGACACATTTGACACTGCTGCAGTCACTGGGTCTATCCACCTCACTGAGGATCTTCCCTTCTTTCTCTGATCTTCCACTTTGCCAAGCATGATGTCCCTTTTCCAAGGAATAACCTCTCCTAGTAACATGCCCAATGTATGTGAGACTAAATTCACCATCTTTGCCTCCAAGGAGCTGCACCGTCTGTTAGACATAACTGTTGATTTGACAGTCCATGGTATATTCAGTACTCCTCCAGCACCACAGCTCAAAGGCATCAATTCTTCTGTCATCTTTTTTTTAAAAATTAATTTTATTTCATTGGTTTTTTTTGTGTGTGTACCGTCAAATCAGATCTGACTGGTACAGGAGGAGATTGTTCCTCCTTCTCCAGCAGAGCATCTGGTGGATTTGAACCGTGCATCTCGGAGATTGCAGTTGCAGCTTCTTTTTTTTTTTTAAATTAAATTTTATTAGTTTTAATGAACATTTACAGAGATTTTGGGTTTTCATTCATTGTTGCACTGCAGTTGCAGCTTCTTGACACTAGGCCACCAGAGCTCGCCACTTCTGTCATCTTTATTCATTGGCTCTCAGATGCATAGCAAGTGATTGAAAAGACTTTGGCCTGAATCAGGTGCATTTTATTCATCAAACTAACACCATTGCTTCTCAGTACTTGTAAGAGTCCCTGAAATGGACTTTCCCAATGCAATATATCTCCTGATATATTGCTGGTACCAAAGGTGTTGATTACGGAGGAATTGCACTGCCAACTCACAGGCAAGTGATTTGAATCCACCAGCTGCTCTCTGTATGTTTGTGCATGTGTGTATGTTTAATAGTCATTTGCACAAAAGCCAGACATTTAAAAAAGAAAAGAGACATTCAAGTAAAAGAGCTGAACAGAAGATTTCAAAGGGTAGCTTGAGAAGACTAAGCAAAATATTATAATGGACTGTGCTGAGAGCTGGAATTGGGGAATAAAATGGGAAGAACTTGCTTGGCATTTCTCAGACTGAAAGAACTGAAAAGACGAAGTCTTGAGTTGCAATACTTAGAGGTGCTATGGGCAAAATCTTGAATGACTCAGGAAGCATCAAGAGAAAATGAAGAGAATACACAAATCAATGTACAGAAAAAGAATTGGTCAATATTGAATAAGTTCAGGAATATTGTATAAACAAAAACCCAATGGCAATGAAGGAAGAAATTTAATTGCTCTGAAGACACTGACAAAAAGTAAGGACCCAGGAATTTATATCTTACCATTTTAATACTTATACTAAAAGATGCAGCCCTGAACGTGCTCACCAGTCTGTGCCAGGAAATTTGGAAGACAGCTGCTTGGGCAACTGATTGAAAAGTTCAAAGTACAGGTTTCACATGAGCATGAGTGTTCTGGAATTCCCATTCTTCTCAAGGTTAGCCACAATTTGTTGTGATCCACACAGTCAGATGCCTTTGCTTAGTCAATAAAACACACTGACTGACGACATTCTTCTGGTGCTTGCCCAGCAAGTAACCTGCTGGACTGGCCCAGAGCACCGTCATCACTGGGCAGTCGGGAGATAGTAAATGGACAGAAGTGACTGGAGGCCTGGGGCATCATATCGGGGATTAGTTGAGGGGAGGAGGATGGAGGGTACTGGCGAGACGCGGCGAGGCAAAGGAATGGAAGGAGGTGCTGGCAGGGGAGTGTGGGGGGACAAGACCAACCCAGCAGCTGCTAATTGTATAATGGGAAAGGGTCTTTCATCTACTTTTTTGGTTAAAATGCTTGTCTGTCAGATAGTATGCTAAAAATGAGAATCCAAATTAAGATAGACTAGATAGAAAGATTGGTCAATCTTCCAAAATAATGGGCCTTCAAAAATTCTTCTGAACAATGGAGAACTCTAAGACTAGTAGATATGGCACTGGAAGCTGAGCCCTGTAATTTGAAACACGAATGAAGAGGAACAGTTGCAAACAGGTACTAGTGATTGGAACATGGACTGTGAGAAGTATGAATGTAGGAAAAAATGGATGTTAAAGAAGAAATGGAACACATAAATATTGACGTAGTAGGCATTTGTGAGCCCGGATGGATTGACATAGGTTATTTTCAATCACACAATCATATGATCTGCTATGCTGGAAATGAAAAGTGAGGAAAAATGGGCTCACCTTAATAGTTAAAAAAGACCATTTCAATTTGTATGCTGAGCAAATTATTTGAGAAGCAGGACTCTGAAGAAAATGTAGCATCAGGATCAGAGGAAGACTCATCAACAATCTGTGTTATACAGATGACACAACCTTGTTTGCTGAAAGTGAGGAGGACTTGAAGCACTTGCTGCAGAAGATCTTCAATATGGATTGCATCTCAGTGTGAAGAAAACAAGAATTTCCGCCACTGGACTGATACGCAACATCATGATAGATGGAGAAAAGTTTTAAACAGTCAGTGACTTAATCTTGGGCCATAATCAGCAACCTTGGTACTAGCACTCAGGAGATTGGGAGAAGTATTATACTGGGAAAGTCTGACTGCAAACTTTCCAAATTATTGTTTCCCAGTTATTGAGTACCGTGATGTCAGTTTGAAGACTAACATGAACAATGGTCTTTTCCATCACTTGCTATGCATCTGAGAGCTGGACAATGGATAAAAATGACAGAAGAATTGATGCCTTTGAGCTGTGGTGTTGGGAGAAGAATAGTAATACTCCATGTAATGCCAAAAGAACAAACAAATATGTCTTGGAGATAGTGTAGCTAGAATGCTCCTGGAAGGAATAAAAAACAAACAAACAAAAACCCAACCTCACAAAACCCAAAACACACACACACATGCAAAAACCACCAAAAAGAGAAAGCTTCATCTCACATACTTTGAGCATTTTTCCAGAAAAGGCTAATCCTTGGAGAGGGACATCGTGCTTGGAAAGGTGGAGGGTTGGCAAAAGAGAAGAGGATCTTCAGTCAGATAGATTGACACAGTGACTGCAGCAGTGGTCTCGGGTATGTCAGATTGTGAGGATGGCACAGGATATGGAAGGTTCAGATCTGTTCATAGGGTCACTATAGGTTGTACTCCACCTGATGGCACATAACAACAACTAAGAGGGAGCAGTAAATGAAAAAATAAAGCTTGTTTTGTGAATGATGTTTTGATAATAAGAAAAGGAATTCAAGCCACTTCACAAGAGAAAAGCTTCTACCAAATAATTCATTGGAGAATAATGGCAATTCTTAATTAGTCCCTTAGTTACTCTTTAGGGTTTTACCATATGAATCTAACAAGCAATTTGTGGGTATTATCTTTGTGGAATTTGTCTTCAAGTCTTATAGAAAAATAGAAGCTAAAGGTGAAATAAAGAAATAAGTAACTTTTCTTTTTAAAGCTGGAATAAAGGTATGTTGTGAATGATACCATAGAAGCTATAGCACAGCAGTGAAAAAATAAGATGGACATGGAAATCATACATCTTGTACTTGAATTCTTGTTCCCCATGTTAGGTTTGTCTATATAGTTTTGTCTATAAAGTTTTGTCTATATAGTTTTGTCTATATAGCTTTGTCTATAAAGTTTAGCTAAGCTAAACTTTGTCTATAGATAATTATACTTCATAGTGTGATAATGAGGATTGTGAAGATGGCACAGGATATGGAAGCTGCGCTGCAGTCTGAAAGCATACTGTTGAAATCTATCAGCTACTCTATGTGAGAAAGATGGGCTGTCTTCTCCTATGCGATTTACTAACTCTGGAAATCAGTTGGAGGGTCAACTATGCATGGGTTCCACTCGACAGTACACAATGATGACATATAATAAATAACTTTGCAGCACAATATATAATACGTAAGTATTCTATACCACCTTTGTTGCTATCATATATAGCATGTTGTACTACTAACCAAATTTTAGTGGTTTGAATCCAACAACTGCTCTGCAGGAGAAAGGTGGGCAGTTTTCTCTAAGAGTTACAGCCTCAGAAACTCAATAAAGGGTCAGTGTGAATGTGAGAAGGCCATGGGTATTTAAGTTTCATGGGTGTTATCTTATTAAAGTGAATTGTTGAAAAAATAAAATATTTAGAATATATTAGTAAATGACATTTTAATGTTTTCATAGGTGCTGGAGAAAATTTGGAGAATACAATGACAGCCTTTCAACAGTAAGTATATAGAAACATTTATATTTAAAATTGTGATTGGCAAAGTGAGGATAGTATACATATAGCATCAACTAGTGCTCCTTATTTATATTTTATTAAAATCAGTCTTTTTTTAAATGTAGTTTAAGTGGCACAGAGAGTGCTTGACATCTGTACAACTGAAAAATCTAGAACAATACTATCATGCTAAAGTTGAAAGAAGACATTTGTAACAAGGAACATACTGTTTGTAATGCTAATTAGTCTTAGAGAGAAGAGAAAAATGAAACAACTGTTAAGTTAGTTCCTCTTTATGAACACAATTATCTTTCTTTGTACTCAGTAATTGTTATAGTGACCTGAACCAACAATCTGTTTTTTCTTCTTGATGGTCTCATAAATGTCGATCCTATTTTTTTTAAGTAAATTTAAACTATTTTCTGGTCATTAATTACTCATGTTTCATTTAGGTATCTCTTAGAACCCTTAGAGGGAAACAGCAGGAGAGATAAGAGAAGTGAAAGCTGATTAATACCATGTTCTAGATCTTAAATGCTTATCATTAGTCTGTGGTAGTGATGGAAAAATGCTTCCTTTTTATCTTAAATAATAAACTAGGAAATGTGAAAAGTCACACCTGTTTTTATTAAAAAATTAGTGTTTGAGCCATTTTTATGTATATAATTAGAGCTAAGAATTCAAGAGAATTTAAGTTTTCTGCTTCTGATTGAGTCGAGGATGTTTTGGAGATTATTTTTCCTATTAGCAGATCCATCCTTTAATTTCATCTAAATCCTTTCCTATTTATATTTATCATCCCTCACCCTGCCTGTTCTAGAAAAGAAAACCGTTGACTGTCATCTTAAAAGTTTCTTAGGAGACCAAGGAATAAAAAGTCTTTTCCCTTTTCACGTACTATGAAGTTGCTTTATTTACATTCTTTTTTGACATTTTTTATCTGTTGCGATAGCTATACAGCTAAATGCAGATAAAGAATCTTAAGAGTTCATCTCCACTGAAATACATGCACAGACATTGTAATAATTTGTCGAACATTTGTTGACAGGGATGTAGGTGTATCTTATCTATGCTGCTATGGTAGGAATGACACGAGTGTATGATTCTAACAAGCATATATTCTCTCAATTTAGGAGACTAGAAATCTGAATTTTTGAGTGATGGTTCTAGGGGAAGGCTTTCTTTGTTAGTTCAGCACTTAGGAGGAAGATGCTTTTATCTTTCAGCATCTGTGGACCGTTGTTCTTTGGAGATCATGTGTCTTGACATGACTCTTTCCTTGGGTCTAGGAGCTTTCTAGCACCAGGGCTCTTCCGGCTATTCTTTCATGGTGGTAGTAAGTTCTCTCTGCTAGTTTATTTTAGATCTCCAGAGGTATTGATTGAAGATACAAACTAATCCTATAGATTTAATCCTGTTTCATTAACATGTTGTTGTATTGTGTTGTTGATTGCCTTTGAGTCAAGCACGACTCATAGCAACCCTATGAACAAAAGGCCTGAAGACTCTCTACAACTGTCATCATTTATTAAAGGTCATAGAGTTTCTGGAGGCATGTTGTTTTGGAAGTGGATGCCACTCCTGCTTCCAAACCTGGCATAGATTATTGGTTGAGTTACCTGCAATGCATAGTGACCCTATGTTCAGCAACTCTGAATCCTTCCCTGTCCTGAGACAGTCTCATTAATTCTGACACAGCAAGCCCCATCGCCCCAGTTACTGTATCAATCCATTTGATCCGGGGTCTCCTTCTCCTTCTAAGCATGAAGTCCTTCTCCAAGGACTGATCTCTCCTGGCCATGTGCCCAAAGTAAGTGAGGCAGAGCTTCAAAATCCTATCCTCCAAGGAGAGACTTGGTTTCACCCTCTCCAAGACAGACCTATTTGTTTTCTTGGCAGTTCATGGTATGTTCAAGTCTTCTCCAGCACCACAACTCAAAGCCATCTGTTCTTCTGTCATCCTTAGTCTTTCTGAAGCATAACAAGTATTTGAGAAAACCATGGCCTAGATTAGGTGCACCTTTGTAACTAGACTGACATCGTTGCTCTTCATCACTCTGGAGAGGTTCATTACAGCAGATTTTCCCAATGTAATTTATCTTTTGATTTCCTGACTGCTGGTATTAAAGAGTGTTGATTGTGGATCCGAGCAAGTTGTAATTGCTAACAACCTCAGTCTCTTCTCCATCTAATATGGTGCTGCCAATTGGCCCAGTGGTGAGACACTTCTTGATGTTGAGCTTCAATCCATATTGAAGACTTCAGCCCTTGACCTTTTGCAGCAAGTGCTTCAAATCTTCTTCAGTTTCAGCAAGCAAGGTTGTGTCATCTGCATATTGTAGGTGGTTAATGAGTCTTTCTCCAATCTTGATGCCACATTCTTCCCCATAAAGCCCTGCTTCCCGAACAATATGTTCTGTAGATTGAAAAGGTAGACGGACAGAATGCTTCCCTGACACACTCCTTTCCTGATTTTGAACCATGCAGTGTTTCCTTGCTCCTGTTCTGAGGACTGCTTCTTGGTCCAAGTATAGGTTTCATATTAGCATGATCAAGTATTCTGAGATTCCCATTTTCTTCAAGATTAGTCACAATTTATTCTGATCCACATAGTCAAATGCTTTTGCGTAGTCAATGAAACATCGATAGATATTCTTCTGGTACTCTACTTTCTGCCAAGATCCAACTGACTTTGGCAGTAATGTCACTAGTGCCACGACCTCTTCTAAACCCAGCCTGTATTTCTGGTAACTCTCTATCAATGTACTGCTCAAGTCTTTTCTGGATAATCTTCAGCAGGATTTTGCTAGTGTGTGATATTAGTGATACTATTCAATAATTTCCATACTCTGTTGGGTCACTTTTTTTTGGAATGGGCCTAAATATGGATCTCTTCCAGTAAGTTGGCCAAGCAGTTATCCTCCAGATTTTTTGACACAACTTGGTGAGCACATGCAGGGCAGCATCTGTTTGCTGAAATATGTCAACTGGTATTCCATTAATTCCTGGGGCTTTATTTTTTGCCAAGTTCTTCAGAGAAGCCTGAACTTCCTCCTTAATCACCATTGCCTCTTGATCATCTGTTGTTTCTTGAAATTCTTCTGTGTCAGCCACTTCTTTTTTGTACAATAACTCTGTAAACTCCTTCCCTCTACTTTTAATGCTTCTTGAATCATTCAGTATTCTGCCTATAGCATCCTTAAGCATTGCAATCCATGGCTTGAATTTGTTCTTTAGTTATTTCAGCTTAAGAAATGCTGATATTTAAAAAACAAAGAAGAAATGCTGAGTCAGTTCTGCCCTTTTGATTTTCTGACTCCATCTCCTTGCACATTTCGTTATAATATTTTGCTTTATCTTCCCATGCTGCCCTTTGAAATCTTCTATTCAGCTCCTTAGTTTCTTGATTTCTTCCCTTTGCTACATAACTGCCTCTAATTCTGTAATATTACACCATAGTGGTGAGGATTAAACATATAGGATAATTATATCAGACCACAAAATTGAGGATAATGACATAATTCTGAGAACCATGGCCTAACCTAGTTGACACGTATTTTGGAGGGTTGCAGTTCAATCTGTGACCTAACCTGACCTGGTATGACCTTTTTGTGACAAAGAGATTTGTCCTCAATTTCTAATTAAAAAGGAAGCCATTAGAAGTAGGGTATCATAAAATGACCATGAGATATCTCACTCCAGTAAGAATAGCAAAATTTAGCAGAACAGCAAACATCAAATGCTGGCGAGGTTGTGGAGAAACGGGAACCCTTATTCACTGTTGGTGGAAGTGTAAAACCAACCACTATGGAAGGCAGTATGGCGCTTTCTCAAAAACTTGCAAATAGAAATACCATTTGACCCAGCAGTTCCACTACTGGAAATTTACCCTAAAGAAACCACAACTGCCACTCAAGCAGATAAAGGGACAACCATGTTTATTGCAGCTATGTTCGAAATAACAAAGAGCTGGAAACAACCCAAGTGCCCATCAACAAATGAATGAATAGAGAAGCCCTGGTATATTCACTCAATGGAATACCATACAGCATTGAAAAACAAGGAACTCATGAAATAGTATGCAAAGTGGAGGACCCTGGAGGACATTATGCTGAGTGAAATATCTCAGTCACAAAAGGACAAATATTGTAAAGGGCCACTGTTTTAAAACGACTGACATCAGGGTTGAAGGAAGACAAAAAGGAGAGGAGGAATGAAATATGTTGCATCAAAACAGATGAGGGAGAGAACTGTTTAAAAGGGATATAAGAATGGGTATTCCTAGGGAGCTCTGGTGGCCTAGTGGCAAGAAGCTGCACTGCAATCCCAGAGGCTTGCCGTTCAAATCCACCAGATGCTCTACTGGAGAAGGAGGGACAATCTCCTCCTGTACCAGTCAGATCTGATTTGACGGTATACGCACACAAAATAATAAAATAATAATAAAAATAAAAAGAATGGGTATTCTTGTCATTACAGAATGAAGGCTGCATAGTGGAGTTGACTTGCAGGGGAGGGATTGCATCACAATGAAAGAATTTTCATTGAGTGAAATTGAAATTTCATTGAGTGAATTGGGGGAGGGAGAGGGTAGGGAGAAAAGTTCAACAATGAGTGACTGGAAACCCTAAGTCTCTGTAAACTTTCATTAAAATTAATTTAAAAAAATAAATAGTGTATCAATCACTAATATTGATTAGTCAGTCCATAGACATCATATCCTTTTGATCAGAGTCTGAACATACCAGCTGCTTTGAATGTTGTTGTTGTTGATGATGGCCGTCAATCAAGCATCACTCATAGCGACCCTATGAACAAAAGTCCTGAAGCCTTTCTATAACTATTATCTTTTATCAAAGTTCGTAGAGTTTCTAGAGGCATGTTGTTTAGGATGCCACCCCTGCTTCCAACTTTGAGTGTTAGGACCTGAAAATTACCTTTTATTACTTACACTAAGAAGCAGACAGCACTTCAGTACAAGTGCAGATCCATTTGAACAACTT